TTTTGGAGAATTGTTTGCACCCACCGTATCAGTGTCTAGTGTGCGCTTGTTGGCAGCATTAGCGTGTGAGCAGAATCTTGACTTGTGCCATTTCGATATTCAGCAGGCATTTGTGCAGTCGGGCCTTGATGAGGATGTTTTCATGCGCTTACCGCAAGGGTGTGGTAGGTTATCTGGCTTGATCGTGAAGCTATGCAAGAGTCTGTATGGTTTGAAGCAGGCATCACGACATTGGCATTCGCACCTGACGAGGTGTTTGTTACTTTTAGGTTTTTTGCAGTGTCTGGCAGATGCGTGTGTTTTTCGATTGATGGAGGAGGGACGTGTGATCATGATCATCGTGGTCCACGTGGATGACATTTTTGCTGTAGGGCAGAAGGAGAGGTGTGACAAGTTTGGCGAGGACCTCAACGAGATGGTCCCCGTGAAAAACCTTGGAGAGTTGAGGTGGTACTCTGCGTGCTTTTACGAGAGAGACGTAGAGAGAGGGCTGTTGAGGATTTCGCAGCAGAGGTTTGCCGAAGAGTTGGCTGCAGAGTACGGAATTGAGTGGGGGAGGAGTGTGCCCTTGCCTGTGAGCGTGAAGCTCACCGACTTTGACGAGAACGAAGCGTGCGCTGATGTCCCTTTTCGCGAGTTGGTAGGATCTCTGATGTGGTTGGCCACTCAAACAAGGCCGGACATCGCGAACGCAGTACGAGCAGTAGCGTGGTATTGTGCATCTCCAAAGATGGTGCACTGGAAGGCAGCACTCGGTATTTTAGGGTACGTACGGAGGACGAGTTGGATGGGGATTACATTTGAGAGGGGAGTGGTGACTGGGATGAGCATGCAGGTGTTTGTGGATGCCGACTATGCAAGCAAGGCGACAGACCGTAGATCGGTGTCAGGAGGGCTAGTGATGTGTGGGGGAGGGTGTGTGACTTGGTTTTCGAGGACACAAAAGTGTGTCACGCTTTCCACCACGGAAGCAGAGTATGTGGCAATTGCCGATGTCTTGAAGGAAGTGTTGTTCCTGAGGCAGGTGTGGCGTTTTATGTTGCCAGATGCAGGTATGCCGTGCATCCCGGTGTTCGAGGATAATCAGGGAGCGATTCAGATTGCGCACAACCCGATCACGAACTCCAACTCGAAACACATCGATGTACGACATCACTTTATCAGGGAGCTGGTAGAGAGGAAGGAGATTTCAATTACTCATAACAGGGTTTTCGCACGATTGAGAGCGAGAACCAAAAAAAAACGAAATTCGGGTCCAGACGCCTCCCGTCATTTCTCGGAAGGCGCTCCACGGTGCGGAGGGGGCAGCAGGAGCGCTCCCCCCCCTTGCCCTTGGGCAGATTGGGCTGCCCCGAGGTTGGGTTCATGTCCGTGCAGAGGTTGCTGGTTCATCTTGCTCGGCTGTAGCTGCCACCAGGTTGATTGTCGGTGTCGATGTCAATGAACAGGGCTAGCGGAGATAGATGATGCCCATGTCGATGAACGGTGTGGGTCGCCACAAACGATACACGACAATCCCACAGTCCGAAGTACGTTACGTCTCAGGAGGCGAGTCTGTCCACATTCCCCCTTTCCTCTCTTTTTTTGTTTTTTAATTGCTATTCTTTCCACAGCATTTCACAGCACACATATGTAGGCGATGCAGGGCGACTCAGCGGTCATCACCCCACGGGTAACGGCTAGGTTGGGTTTGGCTCTCGTTGAGCCGCTGCTGAATGGTGTGGTTGATCAGTGCTTGCCACCTGCGGGGTTGGTGGATATCACCCCGTAGGTGTATTGGTAAGGCGACACCGGTGGTGTTCGTGCGCGGTGCCGTTGGGTGGGACGGCAGCGGCTCCTTCAAATAGCCGCGAGTCATCCGTGGGGGCTTCAGCATCATTTGTCGAGGCGGGGTGAATCGCGGTCGTCACTGTCATTGGACGTCATTGACTCCGTGTGGACATATGATGAGGTGTCCGACGGTGAGGCATCCGAATCGGTCTGCAGTTCAGGGATTGGTTCATTCTCGTTCTCCTCGCCATTGCGGTCGGTGGCGGTGTTATCATTATGGTTCATGTTGTACGCGTCTGCGAGTGACAGAGGTGGACCGGATGTCGGTTGGGGTTAACTTGACAACCAGGGTGTATGGGTTGGTAGGTTTCGCGTGCAGTGTCAGGGGTAAATAGTCGTAGATTGATCGGCCGTTAGGTTCGTATGATGTCGGTCGCAAGCGGTGACGGAGTGAAGGTTCTGGTGAGAGTTGCTCGCAGTTGGTTATGCTGGCACAAACACAAACACAAGCTTGGCAACCCCCGCCCGCCTCATAACAAGCAGGCAGAGGTTAAACACGAGGTCATCGCTTAGGCGTACGACCACCAAATCGAAAGGCACACGCTCACCTGCACTACATGCTAACATCCAATCCTACCATGCCTCGTGGGCCAGTGTATTAGCATGTGGGTTGATGGGTGGGTGCGCAATGATATTTCGAACAAGCGAACTATGGCCATCAGCACCGTGCGATTCCACAGGTCCAGGTAGACGGGCGGAACCAGTAGACGGAACAACCGACCCAAAGGCACAAAAGAAACAACCATTCACCGTAACATGCCATGAAATTGGGCCACGCCATGCCACGTAACTTCGGGACGGACACACCGTGACCTGTGTGCCAATCAAAAGGTGCACCAGCGTGTGGCATTTCATAGGAATTGTGGGACCGACATTAGTACACATTCAGCGAAACGACTTGTGGACTAGGCGAGGAGGCCCAACAGTTAGTTGTAGATGGGTGATAAGAAACGGATCGTTAACCCGGGGCAAGGTGAGGCCAAGAGCAGAGGCAGCAGTGGTCCAAGAAAGGACAAAGCGAAAGAGAGACACATGAAATTAAAGAGGGAAGGCCAAGAACCCGTACGCGCTTCAACAGACCGCATTAACGTTCATGCAGGGGAGAACACAACCAAGCACCTCCATCGTGGCGGCCAGCTCAAAAGGCACCCTGAAAACGGCAGCCCAGAAATCGGGACGCGGAGGCCTCCATTACGCAAATCCGACATATCAATCAGACCTCCAACAGTTGGCCGATGCCAGGGGGAAAATCATCGTCCTCCTCATCATACCCCGGGGGGTAGCGGGTGACGGTGTCAGGCTCCTAAACAACGTGTTCCTAATCCTCAGAGTCATCCGTGTCGGAGCGCGGCTGGGGATATTTTTGCCCGTGGGATCGCTTACGGTCGTTAAGCGACCTGATAGCGGCCCGGACGATGCTCTCTCGTTGCTGCTTATACTCGATTTGCCGCCGCTCACGTCTGCTACGCGGCGGGTCAACATTGTACTGCTTACGTTGACGCCCCCGTTCAGTTACGACGTCGGGGTGGAAAGTGACTTGCAAAACAAGCTTGCTGTTACGGCGCCTGGCCGGGTTACGCTCATGTTTTCGGCGTTTGATAGTCGGAATACTGGCAACTGCGGGCTTGCGACCCAGAGACATGGTCATGGTGAACTGGGGGTGGCCATAGGATCCCCAACGGCGATCATCACGCGATTGAGGCAACCCCGCTCCGTGGGGTCGAGCGTTTACGCGCGATCCCTCGTCAGTTTTTTTGTGTTTCCGGGCGCGGCGGCGTGGCATGGTCTCGTAACGTCGCCTGTGCGGGTTATGATAACAGAGCGGGTGTACATAGACGTGGGAGGGATGTGCGGCGGGCGTGTACAGCACTGTACAGGCAGATGATGATGGATCCACAGACGCGTGGTACAACGAACCAAAGTCAGTCCCCCCATGTTTACATCCATTTCCAACGCACACATGCTCACCTTTCAAGCTACTAGACTCACCCTTTCTTGCTCTCGGTTTCCCCTACTCACCGTACAGAGTGTAGATCTGGGACATCGGTACACCACATGGTGCAACCACCGATGGTTCCAGGTCGACTATGAACCGAGACAAGAGGAGAAAGGCACAAAAGCTTGGCATTCACATACATACTAGCGCGTTTTCTCCCGGTGCGTCGTTATTCTACAACACGCTGAGTCTGGATCCATTTCAGTGCCTGATGTCCCGCATGTGGTGTAACACTCGTACTTTCTGTAGATGCACCGTGGTGCGTCGATGGAACGTGGTTACTTCAGTTGTCAGCTGATATGAGATTGAGAATCGGCAGGTGAAAATGCGATTGCGGTTTGCACCTGCGTGTGCTCACAATGAACTGAGTACGTTTGCGGCCTGGTGGTGCTGTATCGTGTGATTGGCATTTTATTATTATTAACGGCCGAACGTGGTACAGTCAATGATAATAATAGTTTTTTTTTTGAAAAAGTGGGGCCCGTTAGGGGTGCGCTTTTTGTTTTGTTTTGCAAAAAAAAAGCTGTTTAGAGGGATCGTGGGTGGAGTATGTGCGCACGAGAAAAAGAATAATTTTCATGCACAGGGGCGTGAAAATTTAGCCATGGCTGTCTGGTGTCTGGTGTCTGTGTCTGTGCGCCCTAAATACCCAGCAGACTCGAGCCCATTTCACCATCTCGGCACCAAATTGCAAACTAAAACTTGCGCACAACAAGTAATATTTTGCCCGAGCTGTCCCAACCGCTACCTTTGCAATCCGTGGTCGGTGTCTCGAGATAGCACACCGTTTGTGCAAATATATATGTCACATGGACGCATCCCCGGGAGGCGTCGTCATTTTTGTTTTTCTCTGGGCAACAAACTACACGCACGCAAGAAGAAACCACGACGCACTGCCGTGCTGCACACACTGCTGCTGCTACTGGCAAGACACGCACTACACAGAGACAGGGAACATGGACAAGGGGGGCGGGACACACACACATACTGCTGTTAGCGACGGCGGAGGATGCGGGGAACGTTTGGTTGGTCTGGGGTTCATCGCTGATGATCTTGTTGTTGTTGTTTCCGTGGGTTGTTGTTGTTCAACGCTGCCGGCCTTTTTTTTCGCCTTTTTTTCTCTGGAGAGAGAGGGAGTCCCACCAACCAGCGTGTGTTGCACACACCACACAGCGAGAGCGGGACGGGAGCAGGGTGTGCCCTATACCACTGCTGCTGCTAGCTTTCGGCGGAGGAAGCGAGAGGAGAGATACTGATTGGGTCTCTGTGGGTCCATCGGTTGGTTGTTGTTATTGTGTTGCGACGCGGCGGGAGGGAGCGGCCTCTGACTCTGCTCTGGAGAGAGGCACACATACATCACAGCACGGGACCAGTAACACATCACGCTCGTTCCTAGACGATGTAGTACCACTGCTGTGCTGTGCACCTCTCTACACTCATTGTGGGCGAGAGGGTGTGTCGCCTCTGCTGCTGCTGCTGTTGCTGTTATCTAAAGCGGTGGCGGAAGCGTCCTGTTCAAACAATCAGCAGCAGCACCAGCACCAGCCGGGGAATTTTGCAACGTTTTTTCTTCCTCGCTAGCTGATGACGATGGATAGCATCCCCCTCCCTCTCTAGCTGGTGATGAATACCAACCCCCTCGCTAGCTGATGATGGACACCACCCCCCTCTCTAGCGAATGATGATGGATACCACCCCCCTCTCTAGCTGGTGATGATGGATAGCACCCCCCCCTCACGGCTGACGATGGATACCAACCCCCTCTAGCGAATGATGATGGACACCACCACCCCCTCTAGTGAATGATGATGGATACCACCCCCCTCTCTAGCTGGTGATGATGGATAGCACCCCCCCCTCACGGCTGACGATGGATACCAACCCCCTCTAGCGAATGATGATGGACACCACCACCCCCTCTAGTGAATGATGATGGATACCACCCCCCTCTCTA